TATAGCTATCAAAATCACGTTTTCGTATGGCCTTTCGTAATATTGGTTACGCATGTAACTAGGTCTGCCCTTTACTCTGGTCTTGTTGCCTCTGGTTTCTTTCTTGTCGGACAGGTGCTTTTGTTCAGCTTCCAGTCTGTTTCGCCTTCCTCGCCAGCGGTCTTTTTCCCCATTTGTCTAACTTGAAGAATTCCTCCTCCGTGGCAACTTTTTGATCGGTGTGTTTCCCCATGACCATGGTTGTGTCAGTGCTGAGCTGGTTGTTGAGATTGCCTATTCGGTATCGATTTGTGTGCTTGAGATCAAGTTTTGAAATGAACGATGCGGGCAAGTCCGACTGAGCCAAGCTAACGATTCACTCGTCCGACATTGGGTGATCTTGAATTTCTTTTGTGCAGCCATCCTAACGCTTCCGAGTGATACCTACGCCCAACGGAATCCGCTCAGGAGTGGTGGCATTATTGTCTCGTCATTTGTCGCGCAGAACATGAAGCCATTATCTTTAGGGGAAAAGGTTTGAAAACCCCCATTAGATGAATTGCGACACCCTCCTTAGTAACTAAGTACATCTAGATGAGATTGGTGAGATGATGATATGCCCCATGAACTTCTTTGCAAAAACGAAATCACTGCGCTATCTAACATGTTCGATCTACCAAAAACACCAACAAGAATGAAAGAAAATGGCAAATGGCCTGTATCCATCTGAAATACGACACTGTAGTATTGGTTAGCGATTATTCCATTGATGCCAAATATATCGTTTCTGCTGCTGATGTGGCAAGCGCTGGTATACAAAGGATGGCTACCGCCACATCACACCAGATAACCGCGCCGAACCTCTACCAGCTACGAATATGTGCGAGGACTTGGTTGTGTCGTTAAAAAAGCCAAGTGGCTACAGAACTACAAATTCCGAATAAACGGTTGTCATGGTGGGCATTTTCGATCAACCATGGACTCGCACAACTCGCGTCAAGGTAACGATGCTTTAGTCAACCGTGGCAGCATTCTAATATGTCCCATTTGTCGCCAAGAAGTGGGTAGCTGACGACAAGAACAATGAAGTGGATTTTTTCTTCTCACTACAATATCAAAAGGTTCTTATTTGGTTCGCTACTATATTAATATATGAAGAGGATATAAGCTCCTCACATGGATCACAAAGGGTTCATATTGAACTGGCTACTAAAGTGCTAGACTAGATATCGTTTCCACTTGCACACCTTCTCTCTTTTACGGCATCGCCGTTTGCTGGTGGTGGTGGCCTTCGTGGGGGTAACCGTGTCCTTCATGAACGGGTTCGGACTTGTCGCCCTTGATCTTTTCCTTCACGTCATGCATTTTCTCCTTCGCACGCTCCATGAGAGACGGCGAGAGAGACTTTTCTGCAGCCTTGATCTGGTGGTCTAGCGCGCTGAGGCTGAAGTGGTCGCGAAGAATCTTACGCACGAGCGTCTCCACGGTCTCGGAGCTCCCCATGACGCCTCCGTTATCGTCTTTATTGCCGCCGAGAGCACCGCTGTGGTGGCCCTCATTCCTGACACCCCCCAACATGCCTCCGTGTGCATTTCCTTCTTCCCGGTTCTTGTCCAAGACACCTCCGCAAGATGCACTGGTGTTTCCTAAGAAGCCGCCGTCCTCACCTCGCTCGTTATTGTTCTTTCCGAACAAGCCACGGTCTTCACCTCTCTCGTTCTTTCCGACGAAGCCACGGTCTTCACCATGCTCATTCTCGATCTTTCCAACAAAGCCACGGTCTGCACCACTCTCGTTCATACCGACGAAGCCACG